TGTTATTGAACGCGCTGGGAGCACGTTAATGTGTACAGCGCTTACGTTTCAACCTCGCTGTGATTTGCCTGTTATTCATCGTAAATTGATGCCAACTGCAATGGAACGACTCATATGGGGTTTTGGAGATGGATCAACAATGTCTGTCGTTTCAACAATAGCTGGAAAAGTTGGTTGTGCTATCTGTTGGGAGAATTATATGCCCGCTTATCGAATGCATCCTTATAATCAACAAGTCGAATTATGGTGTGCACCCACTGTTGATGATCGAGAAATGTGGGGTGTGACTATGAGACATATCGCTTACGAAGGTCGATGTTTTGTATTAGGTGCTTGTCAATATCTGACACGAAAAGATTGTCCACAAGATTATGAACATATTCCAGATGACAATATACTTATCAAAGGAGGAAGTGTGATCATCTCACCGACCGGTAAAATTCTTGCTGGCCCGTTATTAAATGAAGAAGGCATAATTGTAGCTGAAATTGATCTGAACGAAATTATCAAAGGAAAATATGATCTTGATGTAACTGGACATTATGCACGAGGAGATGTATTTTCATTGCAAGTAGATACATCTAAGCGTTGTGCAGTGTCAGATAAGACATAAAATGACATCACTAGACTCTCCAGTGCATATCAGATCTATGTCGTTCGTTAAAATTTTACTAGCTTCGACATTTGGTTTATAGCAAAATGATAGAACCTTCCGAAAAAAGGGCGTACCGCAGTACTTCTGTTTCACCTGTTACGGTTACAGAGAAAACTTTGTGAATACTCGACGACCACAAAACGAATAATAATAGACACTTGATGAATCTTGCATAACAACCGTAGAAGAGAGTTTATCATTTTTAGCTTAATTTTATCTACGTTGTTCACGAATTTCATACAAAATCATTTTCAAAAGACACGACAGTATTTTAGACTATGACAACTATGAAAGATGAGATTTGGAAAAAATCAAAAGAAATTGAAGTACTTGATGTAGACAACTTATTTAATCTGCTTAGCAATGTAATAAATTAATAACGAGTTTTTGTCTAAATGTATATACGTATATGTTTAGCGTGATGATGAACGAGTTTTGAAATCTCAACTTAAAATTCAAAAGAATACATATGTCTGCGCATATTCACTTTTAAGATCAGTTTGTGGTAGAATAAAATCTTTCGATCCTCTACTTATACATAAATATGTATCTAAAAGGGGTGTTTAATATAATCAATTTGTCATATTCCCCAATATTTGTTTAGTTTTGCTGAAAATTCGTACAATTGTTCTTCTACGGAGTTGGAGAAAAATAATCCGTGAGCTTTGTTTTCGATGTATCTCTTTTGCTATTGATGCTAGAGAGTGAATTCAAGTGCCATTGAAAAGTGCAGATATTTTTGAATACTACTACTATACATGGGCGAGACCAAGATTTTTCAGTCCCGGTCTCGTAAAGTTGGTTTGATCCCGCCCCGGTTTCGGTCCCGTCGCACAGTGGGCATCCAGGCGGACATTAGGCGAAAAATTAAAGTGGCTCATTTCTTTAATGTAACTAGTGCAAAATGTAGCCCTTGAAATTCTCTATCGAATGG